AGAAAAACCTCGAAGGTTCAGGGTTTCAGAAGAACCCTAGAATGAGAAAGGCTTTGAAAAGGTCATTGACCTGAGACGTAGAGGTCAGAACTAGGCTCAAAACACCATGGTACGCCGGAGCAAGGCCGGCGATGACTCTGGAACCTTGAATCGGCGAAGGTCTGAGCGCAAACCTTCGAGGACTGGCCTCGATTCTTCAGGTATCCGGTGTGTAAGAGCAAAGGGAGGTGAGTATAAGACTCCCATGGCCTGAGAAGCCATGGATTTCGGTGGATTTCACGGTGGAAGACGATGAGAGGCGGCTAGGGTTAGGGAAGGTTCGAGAGTGTTTGAGAGAGGGGAGGGTTTCAGGGGCGGCGGATAATTGAAAATGAAATAGGGTTGGGGGGTTTGGTAAATTAAAAAAGGAAAGATGGAGTGTGAGCCGTTGATGTGTTAGATCAACGGCTGGGATTAAAAAATAGGTCTGGGCGGGTTTTTTAATTGGGTCAGAGGCGGGTAGTTTAGGAATTGGGTCGGGTAATTTTGGGGTTGAGATTGGGTTAATTGGCGGGGTTGATTTGGGCTATAGTTGAAATAAAATAGGGCTAATATTTAAATAGCCACTTTTTCCCTTTTATTTTATAAAAAATAGTAAAATGCTTTCTGAAAACAAATTAAAGGTGCTAAATTAATTAATAATATATAAATATTAGATTAAAAATACTGGAATCAAATTTGTAATTATAAACGCAATTAATTCTTAAAATAGGCTAATATTGCAATTATATGCAATTTAGCTTTTAAAAATACTAAATAAATTTGTAAAAATGTGTAAAAATTACCTTAGCTATATTTTGGGATAAATATGAGAATAAAATAAATTAATCACAAAAATGATAAATTGAGGAATAATTATTGATTTTTGTATTGCTAAAATAGGGCAATAAATTGATTTTATTTTTTTCAAAAATTAGGAAAAATACTAAAATATTTGGACACACTTATATATGCAGACATATGCTATTTTGAAAGTATTTTGCATATAATAAATATACAGGGAAAATTTGGGTATCAACAGCCGTCAGTCCAGTAGAAACCTACATAAGAATAGAAAGCTCAGTATAGCAAAGTATATAATAAGTCACAACAATATAAATTGTCTTACCACCATTTCGTCGGGCTCCTGAATGTAATCATCCATCGCAGTCATGTCAGCATCGCGTTCAGCCTTAAAAAGGAAATTAATAAATTTATGGAAAATAAAGACAAATTCTAATTCAATACTAAGAAAACCATACTTGTGCCTGTGATGATGAACCATAACTCAGCCGGCGCCCACTGTAAATCTCGTGTCGGCCGCTCCTCAGCAACAGTAGACGGGCCTGGAAAGTATGTATCCCAATCCACTCTAGAAAGGTCCGTGCCCGTGATCAATAATTGACCTGACGGGGTCGCCTGCGAAGTCCCTAGAGTGAGATCTATCCAAGGCTGTACGACGGCATGTCCGTCTCATGTAGGCCACCCGGCAGATCGGCAGCAACATAATCAGCAGGGGCCTCAACGCCCCCTTGCTGGGGACCACCTCCTCTCCGCCTACCGCCACGTCGTCCGGCACCTCCGCCTCGTCGGGCACCACCACCTCGTCGGGCACCACCACCTCGTGGCACACCAGGGCCTCGCTCGTACTGCTCTGGCTCCACATAATCAGGCATGTGTGCCAAACGCTGATCCTCCCGGGCTCGCTGCAGTGTTCGGGCAGACAACTCTACAAATCGACGGCTGTAATCCTGCAAGGCGACCGCAGGATCGCCGACATAATCCTGCATCTGCAATCCCATCTAATAGACTGTATGTAGTCCAATAGCCTGCACAACGTATAAAATATAAACTACATATATTGCACTAAAATACAGTTATATAATTAATAATAACAGAAAACATACCAGGGCCTCGTGTCGCCCGGCGTATGGAACATACCGACCGCCAGCCTGATGAATAGGATTCCCGATAAAAATTTGTGTGACGTGCCGGTACCAGGACATATACCCCCGAATAGCCACCTCCTAGATCTGTGTAGGTGAGGGCGGAATCATCTGATCTCGATGGTCCCAAATATGGATCTGCGCCGCTAACCATGCCATAAATACGTCGTTGGTGCGTAGGCTCCCATATAGGCCCCCTCGGTATATACTGCGGGCGGCCAAACTGCCAAAGTACCCGCTCCGAGGCATGATGCTCCATAATATCGAGGCATATGAGTGGGGCAGAAGTGCTCCAAATCAATCGGCCGGCCGAGCAATAAGCTGGCAGGGAAGCTATCAAATCGTCGATATATGGCGTCCAGATGAACTATCAAATAAGAACATGAAACGTGAGTATGCGCAACACTAAGTTAATCTATACCAGGTAAGTTTAGGTACATATTTACCTGTGCGCCCTCCAGCAGATCCAACACATCCCTGCAGAGGGGGAGATTATGATGAGCATCATACTCTCGTGAAAGTGTACGGCGGAAGAGAAACCCACCTCCTGCTAGAGGAGAACGGAGTGATGGACATTAGGAGGTAATTGTGTCGAGGTAGGCCTGAAACTGCAAGAACCGCTCCCAGGGCCAAAACCTAACATGCAAATTGACTTAAGGTTTTAAGATAAATTCTAACTAGGTTTAGAGTTGGGAACTGTATGAACAATTATTTGAATATGTTGTCACCCGTAAAGAAGCGGCAATAAAACCACAAACATCTCTCTGAAGTGCCATGCTCGCCCGGCACATCTGCCTATACTGTAGCCGAGAACAGCAGCACCCCAACTTGTAATAGGGGTAACTCATCTAGCAGTGAAGATGATGAAGAAATCTCAGGGCTGACTAGGTTCCCGAAGTGTAGGGAACAAAAGGACACCTTCCAAATAGAAGATAGCAGCAACAACCTCGTGTTTATACCGGGTGATATGTACCTCCTCTGTATCGTCGAGTGATAATCGGGGTGGAGTACCTCCAGCTACTGTCTTAATAGGGTGTCAAAGTCAACCGACTAGGCACCCGACGGATGCAGTCTCGTCCTATGGCCAAAACCCGTTGAGCTGCTCAGCATGTCCAAATAAGCATCACGCGCAATAGATCTCATAGCAGAATTGGCAGGAAACGGCCATTGCCATCAACGGGTAGGCCATATAAAACCTCCACGTCCCTTGCGCGTGATGGTTAGCCTCGCCAATGGCAGGTGAAAAGTGTGCGTCTCCGGTCACCAAACGCTCAATCAACGCCGTGATCAAAGCCCCAATCAACCTGTATCCGCCCGATTCTCAATAATCCTATAGAATGCCCGTATCCTGGAGGCGATGGACTACACGCTCGTGGAGATCTCTGGGCCTCAGAAAAATCCCACAGGTCGTCCACCTCTCCTAGCGCGGAGAATCTGGACATTAACTCCCCTCCCATATGATTGGCGGACCTATGATCGCCTGAAGGCACTAAATAGCCATTGAGAGTAAGGGCCGGGATGTATAAGGCGACGTGTCCATGTCGTCAACTATAAATAAAACAACGATTAATTTGTATGTTTATTATTTAATTGTACAAATATATATACCTATTGGTTTCCAGTGCTCGATATTTTGTAGGCCAGTAGCGCCAACTATCATGAATATTTATGTTCTGTCATAAATTTTCAATTATTTTGATTATTTTGTGGTGTTTGTTTTATATTTAAATTCTAAATATATATACCTATGGGTTCCAGGCTCGATATTTGAGGCCCAGTAGCACCAAACTATCATGAATATTTATTGTGTTAAATTCAATATTTTGATAATTTTGTGTGTGTTTGTTTTATAATTTAAATTCTTAATTTTTAATATATATACCTATTGGGTTCCAGGCTCGTTATTTGAGGCCCAGTAGCACCAAACTATCATGAATATTTATGTGTGTCAAATTCAATATTTTGATTATTTAATTGTACAAAGTATATATCTTCATCTACCAGTATAACAAATACTTAAACTACAGGGATTCTACGCTAAAATACTATACAGTTTACTACGCTAAATGTTTCTATATTTTACTACGCTAATAAATAAACTAAATGTAAACAACAAATACATTTTAATCACATAACATTCACAAAAATACATATAACATACTAGTTTCGCAAATAATACACAAAACGACATGGAGACACTAATATCTAAATTCGGATATTAACATAAAAAATTAAATCTCAATTTTACATTTATTTTAGAACACATTAATCTAAGTCCGGATAAATATAACATACTAGTTTCGCAAATAAAACACAAAACGACATGGAAACACATTCAATCAACTAATATACATTATTATACAAGTTTCAACATAAAATAAATTGAAATACCTCGATGTAGTGAGTGTTTTGTGTGAAAATTTGAAGACGATGGAGTTAAATCACAATAATACAATGCTCCATTACGTTGTGGGACCTACGTTCTTCACTTTTTGTGTGATGGGAGGGGCCCACAAATTTTTTTTTTAAAAAACACGAGCAGGGGGGGCGGGGGGACCAGAAGCTGGGGGGGAGGGTTTAAAAAAAATGGGGGAAAGGGTTTCTGGTCGGGGAAGAAGACGAAGGGCGTTATTTAATTAGGGGTATAGCGTCTTCATTTAATACGATATGTATATCGTATGAAATGAAGACGCTACATATGGCAGTCAAATCGTCAGGCAGTATAGTGTCTAAATACAAGACGCTATATCTTAACGGCAAAAGTTACCGTTAAGGTATAGCGTCTTGTATTTAGACGCTATACATAGAAAGGTAACTTTTTTTTTTTTAAACTTATTAATATATTTTGAGTCCCAAAAAACAATATTTAGGATCCGGACTCCCAAAACCCAATCAACTGATTGCCGTCCGCTGTACAAAGATTTTCTGAAACTATAGTAGTAACAGTAAGTAGTACTAATGGTTACTTTTGTCACACATGAATTTACCCACCTCAGATTTGTCACCTTGTACATTTGGTTACCATAACAACAGTACAAAACAACCCGCAACAGAAGGAAAACAGATTTTTTTTTTCCTCTTCCTTTTCCTTTCCACTCTTCTTCTCTCACTGTGTTACTTTTAGCTTCTTTCTCCATTTCTTTGGAGGAAGAAAAGAGAGAGGTGTAAATAAAATCTTCAAGAAATGTGGACAGTGCCACTTGGAAAGACAACATGTATAATTGGTGCAAATAATAGTCTGAATCTGTTCCTAAATCTGGGTGCTATCAACATCCCTTTTCACTTTCCTCCTTCAGATTTCAAGGCTTCTCCCAAATCTTTCTCTTCCCTCCCCAGAAGATCAGGTCCAATTCACTTTCCTTTTTCGATCAGTATTTTGTTATAGCTATAGACTGACACATCTACAAGACTTGTTTAATTTGGGTTTGTTTTATATGATTTTGACTGTGTTAATATTAGGAAAAGGAAATCTTGTTACTTTAGTTTTATGTGGCTTAGAATACTGAAGGAAAATTATCGGATTATAATTTGATGTGATTATTGTACACTAGTGGTTTCTGGTTATTTTTCTTTGTGCTTAAAAAAAAGAAGGAAAAAGTTAGTAGTGCTAAATTATCCAAATGAAAGGTCAAAATTTTAGGATAGATTACTAATTATGGGCAAAGTTCATTAGTTAAAGAATTTGTAAGAGTTGAACTTGCTTAAGTTACTTGTCTATAACAAATTTACTTTTGAACTTCTAAGATTTTAGCATATCTTTAGCAAGGTTTTTGCTGAATGGATCTGACCCGAGGTTGCAGACTGTTTAAGTCGAACTCGGGGAAGGTAGAATGAGCCAATAATTGGGGGAACCAGAGAAAAGCTTTGTACTGGTGCTGTTTCAAATTCTATCGAAAGGGAGATTGATTCTCCCTATAAAAATAGTTGAGGAAATAGGGCGCCTTTGTTGAAGGACTAACTATTATAGAGGACTCCTTGTTTAGCTTTTCCCGGCCAAGTGACTACAGGATCATCCATCCACTCTATCTCAATTCACCATTTTGAACCTTATCCAGAAGGTTTTAACGTACCAGCTCTTTCTGTGGAAATCCCTTTGCAACTTACTGGATGTTCATGTTTGCCTTGAGTATCTTCTCATATATCGCGTGAACCTCCCGATGTTTGCTATAAATTTCTATGGACCAGCATGTATACAATTGGCAAGGATATAACAATCTTGGACAATAACATCATAGGAGAACTAAGAAATTTGGACTAAAGAGAGCCAGAACTCTTTATGTTACTGAAATTGGCATTATTCAGCACTTGGCAGTGCTGGAAGATGGAGCCCCCTAAAAATTAGTAGGAGTTTCGTAAGCTAAGAATGAAACATAAGAAAATTGGGAGTTGTTCTTTGCCAATGTTACAAGTGCCATCCGGTGGCTGACTAATGCTTGGGTTTGGGGGGTTGTGGGGGTTGGGTTGATGAATAAATGAGTAGCATGCAAACAAAAAGCATCGCCGATTATCCTCGAGGAGGTCTCCAAATGATGAAGTTAGGCTACAGCAAATGTGTAACTATTATGACTGTCAAGATGTGGAGTAGTGTCCCTGAGCGGTGACTGAGAGTATGTATAGTATGGTCATGTAATATCCTCCAGCCTTGTCTTTTAATGGGGAAGGATGACTCACTCAAACAAACTTCACATTTGGTTATATTAGAAATAGAAAGAATCTCTATTTACTTTAAATCGATGCAAGGTAAATCAGGGTTGTGCAATGTATAATGTGTATTTATGTTACAATATGCTCAAATGGTTTTGCCACGTAACTTGGGCTTATCATTCTCTTCTAGAACTAATTGAGTGATTTCTTCTCTTAAAGGTCTATGTAGGGCCAGTCAAGTAGCTGAGCTTTTCCCAACGACATCACCTGAGGTTTTTGTAAGGGAAGCCAGGGTAGAGGACTGCTGGGAAGTAGCTGAAACTCACTGTAGCTCCTTCTTCCCTGAGTACGCCTTCCCTCTAGATTTTGTGTTGAGAATTGACAGGCTGATTGCTATGCTTTTTGGATTCTCCATACCTAATGGATGCAAGAGAACTTGTCTTGTTGCTGTGGTTGGCAGCAGAGATGATGAGGCTTGCTTAATAGGTACAGAAGAATTGAAACTTGGAGGATTTGACGGGCGATTGAGTCTCAATAAGGGCTATGTGACTGGAATATTGACCGTGGATACTGTGGCTGATTTCCTTCCGAGAAAAGGACCCTTGCGGCAGAGAAGGTCAGTTATGTTTTGGATACTAATCAGACGGATGGAGATTATTTTAATAAATGGTCTTTCCATAAAATTCTAGTTTTTGGCTAACCATTTTTTTGAGAAGGTAACGTATCCAATATATTAATGAAATCATCAGCACGTCTGTTTGTGCTGGAAACCAAAATTTACATCTTGAAATGTTTAAACAAAAAGCAGAAATCAAAAATCCTTGTTCTTCTAAGATTGAAAACTGATCATCTATATATTCTTGTTTACACCAAAAACTAAAAAGAAGAATACAATTCATCTTGATCTTCTGTGTAGAGCTACTTGCATCTTCAAAACATCTTGAATTTCTCTCTTTCCAACAGTCCACCAAATAGCTGATGAGACAACTTTCCATCTGTCTTTGTTAGATGTAGAGCTTCCCCTAGTGTTCCAACTAGACAAAAGTTCATAAGGTCTTTCTGGCATTGTCCATCTAATAATCCGTCTTTTGGCTAACCATTATTATCAGATTCACTAAATATATGCTAGAAGTAAACTGTTACTATAATTTACTATTCGATTGGTCTAGGGTCATGCTGTATGGAAGATCTCTAAAGCTTTCAAATTGGCCACATTTTCAAAGCACAACATCGGATTAGGCATTAGGTGATCTTTAAATGCTTAATGATTGTAAATTACTATAGTATTTTCCTGTATGGAAAGATGGAACCTCAAAACACTGTCTGTTATGATAGTCAATACACCGATGCTATTTGGCTATTTGGGATAAGAGTCTTGACTTCAACTACTGCTTTCTTCAGTCCCCTCTTGTTCCGACACAAAAGAAGTTGCCTTCCCTGATCTAGGCATAGACTTGTGAATCCCCAGAATGTTTAGCATTAAACCCCATAACTGTGGAGTGCACTCACTTTGCAACCATTTTATTAATAAGTTTCTTCTACCATCACTAATATCTATATATTATTAAAAGGAGAGGAAAAAGCCCTCTCCTTAAGCCAAGTGGCAACCTAAAAAAATGCCACATGGCATAATTAATTATTTAGTTTATAATTAGTTATTGGTTATTATTTTTGAATTTAAGTATATATAAAAAATGAAAATAATAAAATAAAATAAAAAACTACCATATATATATATAT